CTCTGGCTGGACTATCCTTAATAAAGGTCACAACTCTTTCATCAGTCTTAGGCACTCCATCAATTCCTTGAAAAGACATTTGTTCTGGTTTTATCTTCTGAAATGACAGTATTGAATCCTTAACACTTGATTTAAGTTTACCTTGAATATTTTCTTCTTTTCTAGCAATGTTTAAAGATTTCAAGTCATCTCCATCTTCTCTAGGTCTTAATTTGTCCAGTCCAACAAAAATCCCACAGTCTGGCTCACAGGTAAAGTATCGCTTCTTTCTAAATGTTCCATCGCATGTTCCTGACCCTGGATGTTTCTAGATAAGTCAAACCAAAGATCATAATCACAAATATTGGAGATTATTGTTATCACTAACCATAATTATGACTTTCATTGTTATCATCATCATTATCATCACTATGGTTCCCATCATAATCAATGAAAAATTTTATTCCATACCCACTGTTCAGCACCCAGTGTGTGACATACATGTGCACCAAGAAAGCAGGACTATAAAATCTTAACAGAAAATATGACATTATTCTTAAATAGAGATCACACCTTGCACATGATTGTTTGAAAGGCATGTTTTACCATTACATACTATTGAATAATCCATTTAAATCTCCCCTTCAGTCTAATGGTCTCCTAGGAGAGGTAGACATTGAAGAACTCAAAATACTTACGAGATGTAAAAGCAAGCTTAACTCGGTGTAACATGTTACCTTAGTTGTGTTGCTTTCTGTACATAATTTACATAACATTTGTAAATTGTAACAGCCAGCAACACAACTTAACATACATAAATAGTGCAAGAGTACTTACAATGAGTTCAACTCCAAACCAAGTTCCCGGAATGGGTGGTAATACTCCTTTGTACCGAACAATACCAGGCAAAACATTTGAATGTCCTTTCACTTCAACGAAAACAGCACTTCCAGGTGACAATTGTCTGCCAAATGTCATAGGTTTCCTAGCTATATATGTTTCATATCTTCCTTCAGATAAAGTAATTGCTAAAAGCAAGTTGGTTTCCTCCTCAGATGGTCCTAGTTCTGCTTGCAAATGTGTCACCTGCTCCATTAGTTCTCTCACCAGCCTATGACCATTTCCTTTTTGCTTCTCTTTCTCTGTCAGTCGCTGGTCTGTTCATAAGAGGAGAAATCTACAATTTATTGTAAGTATTAGATACTGTGCTTGGCCAGAAGTGGAAAATCTATTTTTGTTCCCTAATTGAATTCTTGTGAGCCCACAATCAGAATACGTCTTGTGTCACCATACACCTAAAGCTTCAGTGTTTCGATAAGTCCATGGCAAAAATGAAATGTTTCAATTACGTACACTAATGTATGCCAAAAGAACAATTCCTCAACATCTGAATGTTTTAAGGGAATTGAGTGAAAAAGACACCAGTTCACAGATAACAATTCCGCTTCATTATATATGGCGAGCTCAACTACGTGAATAAAAAATTTATAATGCAACTGAGATATCAAATCATTCGTCTACCTGATGGTACATTAACACAGCTCACTGATCTTGCATACATTTTATCATCATGACTTTGCTCCAG